TTTCCCTGGAGGCTGCATCAATACCTCGATGGTGAGAATAGGGGTGTGAGAGTTTGGCTGAGACCTGTGGGGCTGGTGAGGCTGCTCCAGCTGCCTGCACATATGCTATGACCAGTGCCCTTCATAACCTGAGACCCAGGAGGGGGATGCAACCAGGTGATGACCAGGTGAAGCGAGACAAAGACAAGGAGGAGCAACAGGGGTGTCGGAAGTCGGGTTGCTGGAAACTGGCAGTCTGCTTGTAGGGACTGGAAGAGGGGGAGTCCAGGGCTTCTGGCCCAGGAATCCCCAAGATGGACTTGGCTGAAAGTCACTGATTTCTGTGCTAACAAGATGTGTTCTATGCTATGTTCCTTTTGAATAATAAACTTCTGTTTTACTGGCAGTCAGACTCATGTCTGCCTGTGGAGTTGGGGTGCAGGGCCCTCTGGCTTCCCCAGGAGCCTTGCCTGGGTGGACTCGCTGCTGGAAGCAAATGTTGTGGAAGAGGATGCTGAATGCTCCGAGGTCAGATCCAGGAAGGTCGATGCTGTATAAGCTTCTTGCCATGGCGACGGTATGCTCAGAGAGAGGAGGCATGCTCCCCCAGAGTCCTGACTGGCTTCATATGGAGTAGTTACAAAGCATTTTTAAAAAGCCTTATTTGAGGGTGAAGGAACAAACCATCCCAAAGTGCAGAAAGAATAGCAAATATGGCAGGCGACCAGCTTGGCTTAACAGTGGAATCTTCAGTGAGCTTAGATTACAAAAGGAAGCTTACAAGAAGTGAAATTTGGACAGATGACTAGAGAGGAGTATACAAATATTGCTAGAGCATGCAGAGGTGTAATCAGGAAGGCCAAGGCACAACTGGAGTTGCAGCTAGCAACTTACATGAAAGGTAACAAGAGGGGTTTCTACAGATACGTTAGCACCAAGAAGATGGTCAGGGAAAGTGTGGGACCCTTACTGAATGGGGGAGGCAATTACTGAGTGGAAAAAGGCAAATATAGTGCCCATATTTAAAAAAAAAAAAGGGGGGGGAATAGAATCCGGGGAACTACAGACCAGTCAGCCTCATTTCAGTCCCTGGCAAAATCATGGAGCAGGTCCACAAGGAATCCATTTTGAAGCACTTGGAGGAGAGGAAGGTTATCAGGAACATTCAACATGGATTTACCAAGGGCAAGTCATGCCTGACCAACCTGACTGCCTCCTATGATGAGATGACTGGCTCAGTGGATATAGGGAAGGCGGTGGATGTGATATATCTTGATTTTAGCAAAGCTTTTGATACAGTCTCCCACAGTATTCTTGCCAGCAAGTTAAGGAAGTATGGGCTGGATGAATGGACTAGAAGGTGGATAGAAAGCTGGCTAGATTGTCGGGCTCAACAGGTAGTGATCAACGGCTCGATGTGTAGTTGGCATCCGGTATCAAGTGGAGCGCCCCAGGGGTCAGTTGTGTTCAACATCTTTATTAATGATCTGGATGATGCGATTAATTGCATTCTCAGCAAGTTCGCAGATGACGCTAAGCTGGGGGGGGGGGGGGAGGTAGATACGGTGGAGGGTAGGGTCCAGAGTGACCTAGACAAATTGGAGGATTGGGCCAAAAGAAATCTGATGAGGTTCAACAAGGAGAAGTGCAGAGTTCTGAACTTAGGACGGAAGAATCCCATGCACTGTATAGGCTGGGGACCAAGTGGCTAAGCAGCAGTTCTTCAGAAAAGGACCTGGAGATTACAGTGGACAAGAAGCTGGATATGAGTCAGCAGTGTGCCCTTGTTGCCAAGAAGGCCAATGGCATATTGGGCTGATTATTCCCCTCTATTCAGCACTGGTAAGACCATACCTTGAGTATTGTGTCCAGTTTTGGTCTGTCCCCCCCACTACAGAACGGATGCGAACAAATTGGACAGAGTCCAGCAGAGGGCAACGAAAATGATTAGGGGGCTGGGGCACATGACTCACGAGGAGAGGCTGAGGGAACTAGGGTTTGAGGAGAGGCTGAGGGTACGAGGGAACTGGGGTTATTTAGTCCGCAGAAGAGAAGAGTGAGGGGGGAATTTGATAGCAGCCTTCAATTACCTGAAGGGGGTTCCAAAGAGGATGGAGCTCACTTGTTCTCAGTGGTGGCAGATGACAGAACAAGGAGCAATGGTCTCAGGTTGCAGTGGAGGAGGTTTAGTTTGGATATTAGGAAACACTATTTCACTAGGAGGGTGGTGAAGCACCCAAATGGGTTACCTAGAGAGGTGGTGGAATCTCCATCCTTAGATGTTTTTAAGGCCTAGCTTGACAAAGCCTTAGCTGGGATGATTTAGTTGATGTTGGTCCTGCTTTGAGCAGTGGATTGGACTAGATGACCTCCTGAGGTCTCTTCCAACCCTAATATTCTATGACTGCCCCAGTGACTCTGTGACACTCACCCACCTTGTCTCTCTAATATCCTGGGACCAACATGGCTAAAACAACACTGCATACAACAATGGAGATGACAATGCATCCACTGAGAGATGTTTAATGCATTTGACTGGGACACTATTGGGATTGCTGTTGGGAAGTATGCATAGGTCAGAGTATTCAGTCTCAGGCATATTCAGTTGCTCCTTTATCTGCCTTTTACTGGAAGAATGTTTTTCAGAGATAAGATGGAGGACATCTTCATTTATGTGAAAGGATTGCCTGCTTAAAACCACAGTTACCCACCCAGAGGCAGATTTCTCTGCCTAAAGGTGTTCTAGTGATTCATCTGCACATCTAACAATGTGATATATGCCATCATGTGCCAGCAATGCCCCTCTGCCATATACATTGGCCAAACCGGGCAGTCTCTACGTAAAAGAATAAATGGACACAAATCAGACGTCAAGAATTATAATATTCAGAAACCAGTCGGAAAACACTTCAATCTCTCTGGTCACTCGATTACAGACCTAAAAGTGGCAATTCTTCAACAAAAAAACTTCAAAAACAGACTCCAACGAGAGACTGCTGAATTGGAATTAATTTGCAAAGTGGATACAATTAACTTAGGCTTGAATAGAGACTGGGAGTGGATGGGTCATTACAAAAAGTAAAACTATTTCCCCGTGTTTATTCCCCCACCCTCCACCCCCACTGTTCCCCAGACATTCTTGTTAACTCCTGGAAATGGCCCACCTTGACTATCACTTCAAAAGTTTTTCTCTCCCCCCACCCCACTCTCCTGCTGGTAACAGCTCATCTTAAGTGATCACTCTCCTTACAGTGTGTATGATAAACACCCATTTTTTCATGGTCTGCGTGTATATAAATCTCCTCACTGTATTTTCCACTTTATGCATCTGATGAAGTGAGCTCTAGCTCACAAAAGCTTATGCTCAAATAAATTGGTTAGTCTCTAAGGTGCCACAAGTACTCCTTTTCTTTTTGCGAATACAGATACTATTAACTTAGGCTTCAATAAAGACTGGGAGTGGATGTGTCATTACACAAAGTAAAATTATTTCCCATGTTTATTCTCCCCCCTACCTCCCAGACGTTCTTGTCAACTGCTGGAAATGGCCTACCTTGATTATCACTACAAAAGTTCCCTGCTCTCCTGCTGGTAATAGCGCACCTTACCCGATCACTCTTGTTACAGTGTGTATGGTAACACCCATTGTTTCATGTTCTCTGTGTATATAAATCTCCCATTGTATTTTCCACTGAATGCATCCGATGAAGTGAGCTGTAGCTCACGAAAGCTTATGCTCAAATAAATTTGTTAGTCTCTAAGGTGCCACAAGTACTCCTTTTCTTTTTGCAGATACAGACTAACACGGCTGCTACTCTGACACAGAGCAAGTTGAGATTCAGGCAACTTTTAACAGGCTTTTAATATTTTCAAATTACTTTAGGCTTTGGTGTTGCTCTCCACACATGCTGGGTTAATCCTAAAACTTGGGATTGTATTCACAGAGAGTATGCGGTTTTAATTGGATTGTATTTCATAGGTGTGTGTGTCACACACGGGCACATGTGTGTAGAATATTACCTTATCAAAACTGGTCACAGACAATCAATCAGTTAAAGACAATTGGCTGAGGACTAGTGGATTTTTTCAATTCACACCATCAAAAAGGCAGCACTGGCAGACCATTGTCTAGGTTAAATTTTTATATCTAGGCCCCTACCAAATTCGCGGCCAGGAAAAACGCATCATAGACCATGAAATCTGGTGTCCCTCCCGCCATGAAATCTAGTCTTGTGTGTCTTGTGCTTTTACCCTATACTATACAGATTTCATGGCAGGACCCCAGCATTTCTCAAATTGGGGGTCTTGACCCAAAAGGGAGCTGTAGGGGGGTCGCAAGGTTATTTTAGAGGGGTCATGGTATTGCCACCCTTACTTCTACTCTGCCTTCAGGACTTGGCGACCAGAGAACAGCAGCTATTGGCCAGGTGCCCAGCTCTGAAGGCAGCGTCCTGCCAGCAGCAGCACAGAAGTAAGGGTGGCAATACCATACCATGCTGCGTTGCTTCCTTCAGAGCTGGATGGCCAGAGTGGCAGCTGCTGACTGAAGTCACAGCTCTGCAGGCAGTAGCGCAGAAGTAAAGTTGGCAATACCATATCATGCCACTCTTACTTGTGCACTGCTGCTGGTGGCGGTGGCTCTGCCTTCAGAGCTGGTCTCCCAGCCAGCAACCACTGCTCTCCAGCTGCCCAGCTCTGAAGACAGCACTGCTGCCAGCAGCAGTGCAGAAGGGTAGCAGTACTGCAAACCCCCTACAATAACCTTGTGACCCCCCTCCCCTCCCCACTCCTTTTTTGGTCAGGATCCATACAATTACATCATGAAATTTCAGATTTAAATAGCTGAAATCATGAAATTTATTATTTAAAAAATCCTATGACTGTGAAATTGATCAAAATGGACCGTGAATTTGGTAGGCCCTATTTATACACTTAGGATACTGGTGCAAATTTTGCTCTGTCTCAATGTCATCTATCAGAGACTACATAGCCCATGAATTATGTCTACTGATAACACTTACCTTTGTTTGTCACTTGGTCTTCTGTGTTCAGATTGTTCATCACTATTTCCAATTAAACTGCATCTAAAATAAAGTAAAACCAGAATAGGTTCAGTTCAGAATATACCATAGTTCTTTTTAGTAGATTTTCTCATTTACCTTCAACCAAAACAGACTAGCAAGATTCAACATTATCAGCTACTGACTCTCAAATAAGCCACCTTACTTGACATCATAAATGGTCATCACAACCACTGAACAAATACAAAAGGCATCAATAATGAACAGCTTTAAAAAAAAAAAACTTGAGTGAACCCTCATATTGACCTTCCTTGTAGGTTTGTACAAATCATCATTGGATGTCAAATTTAATATAGAGAAAAATTCTGAAGTATTCTATTTGCAAGAACTCACTAAACGAAAATTAGCAAAATAAATGGAAGCAGAAATTCAAGATGACAATTTAAGCTTCAATTATATTGCTTTAAAGTATTGCTTTAAAGCTTAACTAAGTGACCATTTACACTATTCCCATTTTTCTGCCAATTAAAAATGATTTAGAAAATACTGTTCAAAATAACAAAACAAAAACACAATGCTAGAAGCAGCAGCCCATGCACAAAATTTATTGTGTGCTACTGTTTATAAAATACTTGAATAGTTCGGAACATGCATAAAATTTTCAACTTAGACAGGGGTTTCTACAGATTGTACTTTATGGCAAACCAAAAGGGAGATGAACTCTAGTGACTTAAGTTTCAAGTTGTGTTCCAGGGGATGAGAAAGGTAGGTAGCAAATGTCAAAATATATAACAAAGTACAGTGACAATCAGTACAGTTCATTATTTGTGAACAAATCAGCATATGGTTTCAATTTTTAGTTTAACCAAGCAGTCCTGTAGCTAAAAAACATGCAGTCTCAATTTTACACTTTCACTAATGCCTTAACAACTGAACAGAACAATTGCTTATGCGCTGCATTGCCTAAATAAAAATATTTCCATAACATTTTCAGTTTCCTTTATAGAATTAAGAAAAATAATAAAAAGCTTGCAGCTATTCAGCCTGGCCAGTGATTATTAACTATTTAAGCAACTTTAACACTCACAATACAGTAAAAGTACCCATAACATCTATATAACCTATAGACGTTGTTCCTGTACATCAGAGATCTATATATTAAATATCTGCAAAATGAAAACATGCATACACAAAATACAATGCCACGCTTTACAGACTTGATATGAATCAAAATGTACTTTAACATAATGTACAAAGTTCAATTAAAAGTACCTTAAAATTAACAATTGCATTATTTTTCAAACTTTTAAAATTTTAAATATATTTTTAAATTCACGGTGGGGGGAGAATCTCAAAAGTTGGGCATAAAAGTTTCTACATTAAATATTTTAAAATCTGTGTTCAAGTAATAAACATTCCTACATAGAAATCTTCTGATAAGCTTTAACTAAAAAATACAGTGAATATAATACAGAATTAGCAACATCTAAGGAGTACACCTGAGGTCAGCATTTTACAGAATAACCAACTGCGATTTTTGGCATTTTTTTCATTTATTTAACATACACTTTTTGCAGCCTCAGATTTTTTTTAAGACTATTCTAATATATGTTTTTAAAGACACTTCATGAAACCAATGTCCATTAATAAATAGTAGCTCTTAGGGTTGTATTTGAAAGTCTGATTGAAAAAAAAAAAACAAAAAAACCCCTAGCTCTGCTGAAAAGAAAATCCCATTTTGTAAACTTAAAGTGTTGACTATGATAAGCGTAAAATGCTAGTCTAGATGTGCTTTAGTGATAACAGCCCAACCATTTCCCCATAGCTCTCCTCAAGATTCAGCCAGCAATGTTGGAATTTCTGTAAATATATGAAGCATGCTCACAGATGTTCCGTCATCACTTATAGAGAGGGGCTGTTGCCTCAAAAGCACGATGGTTTGTCTTCAGCGGGATCAAGTTATGTTTTCCACATTATATTAAGAAGTCAGTTTGACTGATTCCCCCTGGCTATTTCATCTGTTGTCATGTCAAAAAGCAGTACTCTAGGAATTCTCAGGCAAGACATATGAGTAAACCAGAAGTTGGTGTGGTCACTGTGCATTGTTGTTGCCAGTCCCATTGTTTCCATTGGCATTTGTTGTGTTTACAGAATTAATACCATCTTGCTGAAGAGCATCTTTTCTTGGTGGCATTCTCTCATTGATCCTATCCAAACCTTTTGCCTCTTCAAAACTGCAGATTTTATGTTGCGGAGAAAATCCTCGTATTGCTTAACAAAATGCAAATTTCATAGGTCAGTAACAGAAAAATAAGTTGAAAGTATATACTTTTTCTAATAAAATGATTTAAAAAGACATCTAAGAAATTAGCCAAAGAAACTTTTATGGCTCTACAACTGAATTAGTAACGCTTATATAATGTGCTTTCCTAGAATGTTCAATGGCAATCATGATTTCAACTGACAATCAAAATAGTATATGTCAAATATATTTCCGTAAGAATCAAGGTGGCTTAAACCTACTTTGCTGCTGAGCACTCCTGGTGTGATCAGTGCTAACAACTGCTTTGCTGCTGCGTGTATCAGGCTCATCTTAACATCCCGTTCACTTCAATGGAATGTCAATAAGCAGCTCAGTAAGTGCAGTGAAGGCAAAGCAGCACAAGTGTTTAAAAAAAAAAAAGCCTTCAGATTTTGCATACAAATCAAAGTCCTGATCCTGCAGTTTTCATGGAGGCAAAACTGCAGAATATGGCTCTAACTCTGTTCTAATCATGTGGATAGTTGAAATGGACACAACCACAGTCTTAGAGTCATCAGTTGGGCATGACTTTAAACAGGAAACTAGATATTACTCTTCTACACATCATTTTAAATGAAATAGGAAATGCCTTCTTACTAAGCTGCATTTAGATGTAAAAATGGCTGACCATATGAAAAGCCTGAAGTCTTAGCAACAAAATTTTCTGTTGTATGTGTGTGCGCAGTATCCACTGATTACAATGGAACAGAATTTGGCTCTTGATAATATTTTTGGATAGCTGACTTCCACAATGTAAAAAAAGTAGTCATTAAATGGTGTTTTGCGACCAAATTTGAAACAAACTAATTGCTATACTGTTTGTCATTCACTTAATTTAACATTGTGATATAGGAAATCAAAATGCGTATATAAAAGGCTCTTATTTACAGACCCTAAAATTGTATGGAGTTTTAACGATATTAATATTAACAAAGGATGCCTGAACAGCAACATATTTGGTACAGCAACATTGGCAACCCCTGTATTTTGTTATGCCTTTCATTGTCAGGTGTGTGTACATACTATAAACAAATTTGGTCAGCAAACTACCCTCAAAATCACATAGTAAAAATAGGAACACTGTAATGATAGGTCTTGCACTACCAGATGTGTTATGGAAAGTGATGAAAAGATTAGATTTCAAGCCACTAAGAATAAATTTTATCAAAAGAAACATGCATAAATAACCCCCACCCCCAACTCAAAACATATTTGCAGTTGAATTCAGAAAAAACAAAATTCAACACGACCACTTTTTAAAGTCGTCAAGACACAAACCACGTATCACAACATGCTTTACACAAATAAAAAGCAAAAAACTATTGCACATTTTGTAAAGAAACTGGGGGAAAAACAAAATGATTTCTCTGAAACATTATTAAAGGAAGTTATTATCCTAAGGCAAGAAATGAATGTTACATATAAAATGGATGAATCAATGCAGTTGATTCATCTCTGGTTGTGCAAGTTGAATGTAAGACACACGCACACAGAATAGTTTCAAATTCCCGCCCAGACGCCACAGATCTCTGCCACTGGCAAAGACTCTGATCATACCTTTTTCAGCCTCAATTGCCTCTACTGTGGCTGTACAGAAGTGAGCAGATGCATGCAAAATGAATGAGAAAGATGAAGAGTGTAATATCGCATAGCAGAAAAGGCAATGATCAATTTAATATATCACCCTAGCCCAGATCTGATTGCAAATATTTTTCAGTGAAAATTAAGACTATTTTATAAACTGAAGTGAAGTGACTCCTACATCTCAAGTGACAGTTTATCAAATGCAACACTCATATAATGCAACTTAATCTACCTATTGTATGTAACTGGTTGATTATTTCTTTACGTAAAACTAACATACAACCCTAAATACTGTTAAGGTTAGGGGCATATTTTGGTTTCAACTAGGTTCTACAAATTCTTTGAAGGTCCATAGCACGTTACTGGACTCTATGTTACCAAGAAAGATGTTATAAAGGAGCGAAGTTAAGACTATCAGTGTTTTATTAGTAAGACAAAATACTAATTTAGTACAAATGGATTTTATCTTTTTATTTAATGTTTGACACAATGGTCCTTGCACACATCTTTTGCACTCAGAAGCTGAATTCAGTACTTGGATTTTAGCACTGAATTCTAAGCAAAAAAGTGATGCTGTGATTCAAACTGAATTCATTAAATGAAATTCAGGTATTAGAGCATACAAACAAAAAATCTAACAAGTCACGTTTACAAATGCCAAACAGCAACTCGCATTTAGGGAAGTAAACCAAGATCTTTATAGCTGGAGGAGCTCTGGACAAACACACTCATATACTTTGGTGGATGGATGAATTTACAATGTAAACATTTCAAAGATCCATGCCATGTCTACCCTAGCACTTTTGTCAGAAAAGGGTATGAAAAAAACACCTCCCGACCGACTGAGTTTCACCAACAGAAGTGCTGGTATGGACAGTGCTATGTTGGCGGGAGATGCCCTCCCACCAACATAGCTCAATGAGGGGTGGTTTAATTATGCCAATAGGAGAGCTCTCTCCCATCAGCATAGAGCAGCTACATGGGAGACCATACAGGGGCATAGCTGCAGTGGTGCCGCTGTAAGGTCTGTAGTGTAGACATAGCCCTAATTGACCAGTTAGGAGTTAGTGTTTCTAAAGTTAAGTAGCTGTGTAAACAGCTGTAACTTTTTATATTTAAGGATTCTCCAAGTTCATATTTTGTACAAAATATGACTATACAATCTACAAAGTTGTCT